CTTCCATTTAGATGGAGTTTTCACTTCTCAGGGTTGGGTGGGTTTTTTTTGTTGTTGTTGTAAGGAACGCAGCAGTTACAATTTCTCCCCAAAGACAGTAACATCACAGGAATTGATGAAATGATAACAACCTTGCAGTGTTCATGTATTCCCCTGAGAGTACTAACTGTTCAAACACAGCAACTTCATATATGAATATATGAGCCACAGCAGACAGTTCAGACACCATCCCAATAAAAAGCATCAGAAATTTCACACGTGTATCTTGACCAGTTAAGGAAACAAACTTTGTCCCTGTACACACATACAATGGAAGCAGTATGGAGAACTATTTGAATAACTGACACTCCAAAGCGGAAGTCCTAGGGACAGGTCTCCCCTCTCAAAGAGATTCCATCTGAAGAGTTCCACAAGTCAGAAAAATGTTAGAAAAAAACACCTCCAAACCACACAACTGTGTTGTTTCCACCCAGGCAGCTTTTAAGGTTTTGCATATTCAAATCTTAAAAATCCTACAATTCAAAGAGACCAGAGCCTCCTGACTAGAAATCTAACACAGAATGGAAAATATAAGTGACTTCAAAACACTTTTGTCTCTCCACGTTCAGTAATTTGCTGTACTTTTTGTTTGGTAACAGTCCTTGTGCTTACCTGGTTTAAGCAAAACCATGAATAGAAGAGTACATTCTGCTTCCAAATAGTATCAATCAGCTAAAAAGTGATAATCCACTGAATGGAATATTGCCAGTACCATTTTTCAACCTACATGCAGGAAGATTTAAGGCCACAGGCTACAGATACAGTACCATGCAAATTTGAAAGTGGTAGAAAGAAACATTGCAACTGCTGGAGTACTCCACTGGTAAGTATGAAACAAAATGTTTTCACCATGAAGAAAGTGATTAATCTTGAGCACAAATCAAAAGTTACTCTGTGTTCCTTTAGTTGGTTGAAGGATACTGACTTGCGGGAACAGATGAGCAAGAGACGAGAAAACAACTTCGATTCAAGTTTTATGAGAGAATAACGATGATTGCCCTAGAGACTCAAACAAAGAGAATTGTGCCATTCACATTTTAAATTCTAGGAAATTTCTGTTCTTTCTCTTCTCACTCCTACTATGATACGAAAACTAAGAATAATCAGTCTTAAACCACCACGTTGTAAGAACTTCCTGAGGATGCAGACTGTGTGAACATTTCCACAGGCAAAGGAAACTCAGTACTGCTTCCCCTTTCCAGTCCATGTGTGCCGAGTTACAATACTGCCAGAGTTCCCGGGTTTCAGTTCAGTTAACTCACAGTTGGCTAGCTGTATGCTGGCAGAGACATAAGGAACTTCATAGCAAAATGCACAATTTGCCTCCAGCCCAGATCAACTACGTTTTCTTCAAATCCCAAGGTCTGCCCAATATTATTTTGGTTTCCAGAACTTTATGGCAGCAATATTAATAATAAAATGGCATGATCTGCTAAAGGAAATTGTGTCCAAAGGGCATGAAACGATTCATCATGACAGCTGCACTAAATAAATGGACAAAGAGTAATTTTTCTTCTGGTAACAATAAATTTGTTTAGGTGGCAACAAGCAGTCCCGCAGGCTGAATTAATTCATTCCTTTGAAAAGGATTCTCAGAGTGTTCCAGTGATGTTGAAATCTCAGATTGCGTAAAACTGATTTTGGCTGGCGAGGTCATGTTCTTTCTCATTTAAAAGCATACTAATTACAAGACTATTCTTCTGCAGGAAGCATACTTTCTAAAGTGACTTGCAAATCATGATTCTTCATAATTTTTGACTACTCAACTGGATTAGATGCAGGCTTTTGGAGGATAGGTTAATATAATATTAGTTAATATAATATCAGTGTAATATTACAACTCTACTTTTCCAATTAAATCCTTTCATAAAAGCCACTACTGAAATTCTACTCAGGATCTCCACAGTATCTAAATGGTTGTTCAGAGATTAAAGGCCTTCAGAATATAGTTAAAACAATGCCTTACAAACAGACAATAACAGCAAAGTATTTTGTTTACCAACAGACAGGCAAGGAACAATTAATGGACAGGGTTTGCAAAGACAACTGAAGCAAAGTTCAAAAAATACCAAACTCAACCTGATTGGTGAAAATTGAGACTCGAACTTGTACCAACATCAATTCTTCCCTCTAAAGGCTGGGAACTAATAATGCAAGGTAAGTTGTTTATCTATGTTAATGTAAATATTTAAGAAAAAGAAAAACCATGACATTTCCAGAACTGATATAATATCCTATGCTGTATTTTCACTCTTTCATACCATAGTCAGACCATCATGCTTAATGAGTAATCCCACAGTAAAACACAAGATGACTGAATATGACAACTAAGCTCTATTCACACAGCAGCAGCAGCAGCATGCCTTAGGCTGCACATTCCCTTGCAAAAAGCACATTTACTTCTACCACAAGACAGGTAGTTTCAATACTCTTAAAAAAGAAGATGCTCTTGGGAAAAACTGAAGTGCCTTAAGAAATTGTAATTCACAGAAATACTGTTTCAACAGTCAACCTTGCTCAAGAAGCAGCAGTTTCATTCTGCAACAGCTGATGATTTTTTCAGAGTTATATTTTGAAATGTGATGCACTGCACAGAAACAGATGAACGTAGAGTTGGCACAATTGCATGCATGGTCAAAGACGGATCATTATCTGAAAGCACTGGATGCATGTTTTACGATTTAGCCATCAATGAAAATGGGTATTCTTTCTGTTCGGCGCTCTGCAAGATTCTACTGCCAATATCAGCAAGTAGATCATGAGTAAGAACTAAAATCAGGATCAAAACTTACTGGATTCTGTAGTAAAGAGTTTTCCAGACAAAAGCAAAACCACTAATCACCAACTCTGACTAAGAGCCAAGCATGGGCCTACCTAGCTATTCTCAGTTCTGTCAGCAGCAATGATGAATTTTTCCTTTTTGCTTGATTTTTTCATTCACTGAAGGACTAGAGTATGTATCTGCTACAGGTTGTAGTTCTGGCATAAGTTACTTTCTTTGAGAGCCACTTCCCATCAAGCAGATGAAGACTGACCTGCTAAACATGCAAACCAACTGAAACAAATGGCAAAGATTATGGAATGGTGTTTCTGTACTACAGAAATGGAGAAGTCCTGAACTTCAGGGAACTAGGAAAACAACAACAAAAAAGCCCAAGCCCCTCAGCCTGTTCTCATCAAACAGTCTGACAAGCAGTCTGCAACAGTATGTTTTCATAACTGAAATTTTGCCCTAAACTTGTAGACTGATACATTTTCTCTGTTCTCATTGAAGTGTAACTTTATGTGTATTCTCCGCTCATCTCTAATTCTACACATACCACAGAATAAAGTGTGACGCCCTCCAAGTATTATCTGCTAAAATAATTTTCAAAAATGTTAAAAACAGTAAACAATAGGATCAGTTCTGTCACACACTATCCATTTGCACACTCCAGAAATATTACTTAGCCTGGAAAGGAAAATGTTAGAAAAGGATCTGGTTCAGGTGTATTACCAAAAATACAGACAAACCCAATATCAATTCTTAAAAGTCAAGAAACAGCATCAACTTCTAACAACGGCGAGTCACAAGAACTCCAGTTTTGTTATGGACAACTGAGGATAGACTGAAACTCGTTTTACACGTACCTGAGAGAATAACTTCTCCGAAGCAAAGCCTGCCTAATTTCCACAGCAATACTCAATACTAACTTCTTGTTAACTATTAGTTTCCCTTTGTCAACAGTTCTCAGTCAGAATTCAAAGAGTACTTAGCAACATTTAAAAAACAAAGTATATATGCTACATAATAGTAATGTGTAGACAAGAAAATGCATATTTATTACCTTCCATTTTAAAAACACTACATTCAGGGAGCTTGATTTTCTTGTATTAAACACATTCAGGGCATAACACAAGTTCAGCTATTCCACTCATTTACCAAAGAGCTTTCAGTCATGCACCACAGACAAGGCTGAGAAACATCCAATAAACCAAAACATTAGAATGGCAAACAAAACCATCTATTAGCACCACAGCTCTCCTTTAACAGCATGAACTACCACCACACCAGAACTCATTGATTTACCAATGTAGATGCAAACTGCAATGTAACCACTCAGCACAGCAACAAAGAATAGCAGAGAAGGAATTTCAAGACCTCACTTTCTTCCCTCAAAGATCAGGAGAAAAAATTAAATTCACCAGTAAAGCAGCAATTATTTTCAGATTTAAACACCTTGCCTGGTTACAACATTGTTAACACAAGGCATTTGCTTTGAAACCTGAGAGGACAAAAAGAAAGTTTTCATCAGCAAACCTGATGCTGTGCAGAAGAGATATACCAGCATCTAAGAAGAATTTGTATCACTTTCAATAGTGTGGATTGCTATTCGTTTATCTTTTTTAGCAAGTTAAACACATTTTTTTAAAGGAATAGAAGGGTATAATTCTGATCTTTGTTGCTTCTTTTAATGATGTTTCTCTATGAGACAGCAGACTTACGAATGGAATGAAATACTCTGATAGGGATTTGCGTTGATTAAAAGACATAGTTAAGATCAAAATGAATTTTCTAGGCTGCCCTCCAGAGAACTCCGCAGTACCCGTTTTCAAGTTGAGTATTAAAGAAATGTTTATCATACATTACTACCTTGAGTATTTCAGAGCCATCCAAGAAAATGTATACTCACGTAGTAATGGAAATTTGACATAATTGAGAAACTAGGATCCAAAAAGTAATGATCATAGGAAGAATGAGAATGGTATAACTCCTAAAGGCCAGCAAAACCTGGGGCCTTAATGGAGTTGTCTATGAGAAGAAGAGCAGATGGTAAACCTAGAAGACAGGACACATTCCAGAATATGAGCACAGCATCTCTTCCAGATAAGAACGATTCTGAGCACTGTCAACATGTGAACACAGACCACATTTAAAAATGTCAAACAAAAACCATGCTATATGGTCCACCAAGAACATTGAGTTTATAGTGAAATTTATTGTTCTGCTTCCTAATACAATAAGCTACAAGGTACATACAGTATAAAACGAGAACGGCCACAAAGCAAAGGTGATAAACATTCTGTGACAGTACAGTGGAGGTAACATTTGTCTAATCCTTCCACTTTATCCCAAAAACAGCAGCTAAAACTACTGGCCCTCCCCCTCCCTCCCCTCCAAAAATATTAAAAAGTAAACTGTCTCTCTCACTTAGGAGCAGCGGGATTCGTTGGTTTTTCTGAGGGCACTGGTTATCTGCCAATATCTCAAGAAAATTGCTGAAACTAAAGTAACAAAGAAAAATTGTGAAGGTGGGAGTGACATGACCCATGCAAGATGCTCATGACACCTTGGTTCACTCCTCAGAGCAAATGGCCTGTAAAGAAAGGAAAAGTTTGTTACACCAAGTGAAACAGCAATTAACCTGGTCAGAGTTAAGATATAGTAAGCAAAATCTCAGCTAGACAGCACTAAGCACACAGCTAAACTACTCTTTTAATGAAAACACAATCTTCCTGTTAAGGTTTGGAGATTGACAGCTGACAATCCTTCTCCTTTTATTTTTAGATGCTGTGCAGGAAGGTGCACATTGACACAGGCACAGCTGACATTATACAAGGCTTCAGATCAAATAGCCTTGTCTGGGAGAACTCTAACAATGACATGAACTGCAATCTCAACTCTTAAAAAAACAAAAAATCACCAAGGCTACAAACATGCAGGAAGACTGAATACTTACCTTAAAGGCACAAAATTCCATTTAACCACTTTTTCATATATACTTGGTGCGGTTGAGGGCTCTCTCAGCAAGATGACCACTTTCATCTGTTATCTTCTCCCAGTCTGTTTGTCCCACAACGAAACCAATAGCCCTTTTCCTGTCCGCATCTTTTTTTTCTTCTAGATCTGCCCACCGCACCTACGGAGAACATACTATCAATACGACAATCTCTTAAGAAATCCTGAGACAATTCTAGGCTTTCCACTGCAGATAAGAGTATAAGAATTCTAGTTTGTACTCTTTTTCATTCAAATAGGTAAGTATTAACTTGTTTTCCAATGAGCAAAGATGGAAATGACATCAGTTACATGATTTTAAATTGAACGCTCCAGGTGTTCCATGAAGTAGAAGAAAGGTACTGATGATTAGCCTTTTCCATTTCAATGCTATAGTTCTGAGGGCTAAAGTATAGTTACTACAATTATTTCTGTTCAAAGCAATGCTTTCTACAGGAAGAATTATCAAAGATCCATTTAGTGTTTTCATTTTCTGTACAACCTGTCTTTCAATTGCATAGTGGAAACATCTAGAAGACAACTATGAAACTACAGAAAGACAGTGTTAAAGAGCAACTCAGCAATGAATGAGAGGATAAGGGACAGTTTTCTTCTCTATCTTCTGTGACACGTTTCTATTTAAATGTTTCCACTATTTCTTCACTAATTAACTTCTTCATGCATCTTTACATGGTCTGCAACCATCTCCTCTGTGGTTCTTTATAGTCATGCAGATCACTTGCATTCGTCCTGTTCGAACATGTATAGTCAATCCTTCACCCACAAACCCAGACACCAATGAGAGGGAGTACAACAGGGAGAAGGGAGTGAGGGAGGTGATGATGAAGGGCTATAGTCCAGAAACTCAGCTGAAACACATCTTTGCAAGACAAGAAAAAACAGTAAGCAAAGGAGCTCTTCATTGACATCCTAACCGATTCAGGCTGAATTGTTACCTGGGGACATAGCCTTATCACCTTTCTGCCAGCACCTCCCTATCCCACGCTCTACCTGGACTTCCCCAGACATTC